AAACGTCGTCGGACCATTTTCGGACGGACCGAAACGTCGTCGTCTCCTCTTCTTCTGATGAGGAGTGAAGTCATCATATTCCATTCACCTGAAATGTTAAATTTACGGCCTTTTAAGTGAACCAATCGGTTTCGGATAATACGAAATGCTAATTTGAATTCAAATTTGAATTCAACCTACTTCCTGCTACCAACCAATCACACAATGTCACCCAATTTCTGTTACAGTGTTGTAAGTGGTATTCTGTGAGCACCTACGCTTCTTAAGTATAGAAATTGGGAGTTATTCCGCTCAAACTTGGCTGTGACAAAGTTATATCAGAAACCTTCCAGAAGGATTTGTATGGAACTCCTTTCCCCAGAGAAGATAATAAATGAATTTAAGCGATCCTTTTTGGAGAGAGAGAGAGAGAGAGAGAGAGAGAGAGAGAGAGAGAGAGAGAGAGAGGAGAGAGAGAGAGAGTAGAGAGAGAGAGAGAGAGAGAGAGAGAGAGAGAAGATAGAGAGAGAGAGAGAGAGTCAGAGGAACATGAAGCGAGAGATAAGGAGTCACCGACGTTCAAAGACATAAGGATCAAGAGCTTTCAAGAGCATAGAGCCGCCTCTCCTGGTGATGGGAGAGAGAAGGGCTCTAATTGGATCACCTCAGCAGAGTCACAAGAAGAGACAAAGACTTCTCAAACGTCACAGACAGGCAAAGCAGACCCTCAAGGAGACGTAACCGTAACAGCAGCAGAATCAGTAACAGCAGAAGGAGCAGGCTCAGCAGCAGAACCAAAAGCAGCAGCAATAACAGCAGCATCAAAATAAAAGCCGTATCAAACGCAGAAGTAGCAGCAGACTCAGCAGCAAATAAACTGCACAGAAATAAAAAAAAAAGTAAAAAATACAGCAGAAACAGCAGACAAACGCAGCAATACAGACAGCGTTCGAGAGTAAAATACTGAACTATAATTCGAGGGAAGTGAAGCATTGAAACACAAATAATTTTCCCTGGCAAAATTGGGATATTTCCTTAACGAAAAGAGGATAGTTTCCTCTAACAAAAAAAAAGAAAATATTGCATGACGACCAGACACAGCCACAGACAGCCACAGACAGAGACAGACAGAGACAGATACAGGCAGCCACAGACAGAGACAGATACAGGCAGCCACAGACAGAGACAGACACAGGCAGCCACAGACAGAGACAGATACAGGCAGCCACAGACAGAGACAGATACATGCAGCCACAGACAAAGACAGATACAGGCAGCCACAGACAGAGACAGATACAGGCAGCCACAGACAGAGACAGATACAGGCAGCCACAGACAGAGACAGATACAGGCAGCCACAGACAGAGACAGATACAGGCAGCCACAGACAGAGACAGATACAGGCAGCCACAGACAGAGACAGATACAGGCAGCCACAGACAGAGACAGATACAGGCAGCCACAGACAGAGACAGATACAGGCAGCCACAGACAGAGACAGATACAGGCAGCCACAGACAGAGACAGATACAGGCAGCCACAGACAGAGACAGATACAGGCAGCCACAGACAGAGACAGATACAGGCAGCCACAGACAGAGACAGATACAGGCAGCCACAGACAGAGACAGATACATGCAGCCACAAACAGAGACAGATACAGGCAGCCACAGACAGAGACAGATACAGGCAGCCACAGACAGAGACACATACAGGCAGCTATGGACACAGCCAAACACACACACACAGACACACAAACCAAGACACAGACAGCTACAGACTCACAATCAAATATACAAAGCCAGACACAGACAGCAACAGACACAGAGAGCTACAGACACAGAGAGCAACAGACACACACAACAACAGACACAGAGAGCTACAGACACACACAACAACAGACACAGAGAGCTACAGACACAGGGAGCTACAGACACAGGGAGCAACAGACACAGACAGCAACAGACACAGGGAGCAACAGACACAGAGAGCTACAGACACACACAGCAACAGACACAGAGAGCTACAGACACAGACAGCAACAGACACAGACAGCAACAGACACAGAGAGCTACAGACACACACAGCAACAGACACAGAGAGCTACAGACACAGACAGCAACAGACACAGAGAGCTACAGACACAGAGCAACAGACACACACAACAACAGACACAGAGAGCTACAGACACACACAGCAACAGACACAGAGAGCTACAGACACAGACAACAACAGACACAGGGAGCTACAGACACAGACAACAACAGACACAGGGAGCTACAGACACAGGGAGCAACAGACACAGAGAGCTACAGACACACACAGCAACAGACACAGGGAGCAACAGACACAGAGAGCTACAGACACACACAGCAACAGACACAGAGAGCTACAGACACAGACAGCAACAGACACAGAGAGCTACAGACACAGAGAGCTACAGACACAGACAACAACAGACACAGGGAGCAACAGACACAGAGAGCTACAGACACAGGGAGCAACAGACACAGACAGCAAC